AAATGAGAAGTTAATATTGTTTAAGGAGGTCCTTTCGCCACCCCTTTCGCCACCAATGTTAAATAAAAAATATTAGATTATGACTAAAATTTATTTTTTTTCAAATAGTTGAAGTCCTTATTTATCTAATAGTGAACTTTTAACTATACCTTACCGTGCAAATTTTTGAGATTTACTATACCTTACCGTGCAAATTTTTGAGATTTTTTTTTAAAATGTGAGTATTTGTACAGTGTCTTACGAGAAAGTAAGACCTCAACAACAATTCTCGAATTATACTATTATTTATTGATTAGATGGAGTAGAAAAAATCTAAAAATAAGGTTCTTGAAATATTTAGGTTTTGTTTTTTACAATAAAATATATAGGTTACCGTGTAATTTATTGAGAAAATTAAAAAAAAAATTCAAGTAACCTAGTTGAAATTTTTTTGTGATTTTTACTTTCCTATCTGTATACAGATATAAGGAAAGTATAGGAATCATGATTTTTTTCGACCTCGAGTTTGCGACGGATTTTTACGTTTTGAGGTCCCCTGAATCCGTTTTGACTATTTTCGCGATGATATGTGTGTGTGTGTGTGTGTGTGTGTGTGTGTGTGTGTGTGTGTGTGTGTGTGTGTGTGTGTGTGTGTGTGTGTGTGTGTGTGTGTGTGTGTGTGTGTGTGTGTGTGTGTGTGTGTGTGTGTGTGTGTGTGTGTGTGTGTGTGTGTGTGTGTGTGTGTGTGTGTGTGTGTGTGTGTGTGTGTGTGTGTGTGTGTGTGTGTGTGTGTGTGTGTGTGTGTGTGTGTGTGTGTGTGTGTGTGTGTGTGTGTGTGTGTGTGTGTGTGTGTGTGTGTGTGTGTGTGTGTGTGTGTGTGTGTGTGTGTGTGTGTGTGTGTGTGTGTGTGTGTGTGTGTGTGTGTGTGTGTGTGTGTGTGTGTGTGTGTGTGTGTGTGTGTGTGTGTGTGTGTGTGTGTGTGTGTGTGTGTGTGTGTGTGTGTGTGTGTGTGTGTGTGTGTGTGTGTGTGTGTGTGTGTGTGTGTGTGTGTGTGTGTGTGTGTGTGTGTGTGTGTGTGTGTGTGTGTGTGTGTGTGTGTGTGTGTGTGTGTGTGTGTGTGTGTGTGTGTGTGTGTGTGTGTGTGTGTGTGTGTGTGTGTGTGTGTGTGTGTGTGTGTGTGTGTGTGTGTGTGTGTGTGTGTGTGTGTGTGTGTGTGTGTGTGTGTGTGTGTGTGTGTGTGTGTGTGTGTGTGTGTGTGTGTGTGTGTGTGTGTGTGTGTGTGTGTGTGTGTGTGTGTGTGTGTGTGTGTGTGTGTGTGTGTGTGTGTGTGTGTGTGTGTGTGTGTGTGTGTGTGTGTGTGTGTGTGTGTGTGTGTGTGTGTGTGTGTGTGTGTGTGTGTGTGTGTGTGTGTGTGTGTGTGTGTGTGTGTGTGTGTGTGTGTGTGTGTGTGTGTGTGTGTGTGTGTGTGTGTGTGTGTGTGTGTGTGTGTTTGTGTGTGTTTGTGTGTGTGTGTTTGTGTGTGTGTGTTTGTGTGTGTGTGTTTGTGTGTGTGTGTTTGTGTGTGTGTGTTTGTGTGTGTGTGTTTGTGTGTGTGTGTTTGTGTGTGTGTGTTTGTGTGTGTGTGTTTGTGTGTGTGTGTTTGTGTGTGTGTGTTTGTGTGTGTGTGTTTGTGTGAGCGTGCGTGCGTGCGTGCGTGTGAGCGTGCGTGCGTGCGTGCGTGTGCGTGCGTGTGTGTGTGTGTGTGTGTGTGTCGCATAACTCATGAATCGATACACAGAAAAACACCAAATTTTAAACTTAAGCTTTATTCCAGCGTCTAATGAACTGATTAGATTTTGGGCAGAGTCGGAACATCTGGGGGGTACTTTATAGGTGGTCATTTTTATATTTTATGGAATATATCTGTTATTTACGTTTGGAGAAGAAAATTCTTCAAATAAAAGTTACTTCTAATATAATTATCTATAATTTTTGTTCTATACAAAATTTTCCTAAAATGGTCCGTATTCGAGAAATTTGACAAAATGTAAAAAAAAATCATTTTTTATAAAAATTGTTCAAATAAAAGTTGTTTGTAATATAATTCTCTATAATTTTTACTCTATACATAATTTCTCTAAAATGGACCGTATTCGAGATATTTGAGAAAATGTGTAAATTTCGAATTTTGAAGAAAACTCAAAAACGGATAAAGAAAAAAACATTAAATTTTAAACTTAAGGTTTATTTCGGTCTGACGTGAAATGATTAGATTTTGGACAAAGTCGGAACATCTGGGGGGGTACTTTATGGGAGGCCGTTTTTATATTTTATGAAATATATCTGTTATTTATGTTTAGAGAAGAAAATTGTTCAAATAAAAGTTACTTCTAATATCATTATCTATAATTTTTGCTTTATGTCAAAATTTCCTGAAATGGTCCATATTCGAGAAATTTGACAAGTGCAAAATTCTGATTTTTATGAAAATTGTTGAACTAAAACTTGTTTGCGATATCGATCTCTATAATTTTTGTTTATACATGATTTTTTTAAAATGGACCGTAATGGAAAAGTGCTAAATTTAAATTTTTCAGAATTTTCGTTTTCAATGAATATATATAGAAAAATGTTTCGAGGTAGATGTATGTGGACAATGTATATATTTAGTTTTTCCTCTAAACATTCATAGAGATGCTGCAATAGGTTGTACAAAATAACCGGAAAAAGCCGATAATAACTAGATAGGAAAGTCATGTGTTGGACACATCAGATTTTTTAATATTGATTTCTCAATAAATTCCACGGTAACCTATATATTTTATTGTAAAAAACAAAACCTAAATATTTCAAAAACCTTATTTTTAGTTTTTTCTACTCCATCTAATTAATAAATAATAGTATACTTAATTATAATTCGAAAATTTTTATTGAAGTCTTACTTTCTCATAAGACACTGTACAAATACTCACATTTAAAAAAAAAAATTCTCAAAAATGTGCACGGTAAGGTATAGTTAAAAGTTCACTAATAGATAAATAAGGATTTCAACTATTAGAAAAAAATTAATTTTAGTCATAATCTAATATTTTTTATTTAACATTGGTGGCGAAAGGACCTCCTTAAAATATTTTTATTATCTTACAATACATGTAGGTTATTCAGGAATTTTTATCATTGAAACTATAGGTTTATGGTAACTGAAATAAGAAACATAAGTTTGAGACTTGATATCCTCTAAATATCTGGAAAATACCGCGTCAATGGTGGTCCCATATTTTGTTGTGGATTCTTGTGGATCATTATTCATTTTCAAATAAAAATTTTCCGAAATTGTGTCTAAGAGATAGAATCAGTTATGAGCAGTTAGCAGCTAGTCTACACGCATACGTCTAGTCGCACGCCCACAAACACCGTGCCGAAGTCTGCCGAACTGAAACGACGTTAGACGATGCACGGCTTTCAACGCCGCACCACTGTGCCGGTCGGAGTGGGGGTGTTAGGTTTATTTTCGTTACGGAATTTCTGTTTCGATTTTTCGTTTTTTCGATTTTTTGTTTTTTCGATTTTCCGATTTTTCGATTGTCTTTTATTGAATAAATGAGAAGTTAATATTGTTTAACGCCGCACCGCTGTGCCGATCGGAGTGGGGGGGGGGGGGTGTTAGGTTTTTTTTTTTTCGTTACGGTCGTTACGGAATTTCTTGATTCGGTCGCCGCGCTCAAAGCCCGCGATAAAAGCTATGCAATAGCTTAAAAATGTATGTTTTTTTTAAACAGAACACCCTGCTTTTTATTTTTAGAATGATTTGGTAATAATGTATTCAATCCTAGAATGTTTTTAAAAAATATTACGGTATTGCCAAGCAATTATTTTTTTTTTAATTAGGGAAAGATACAGACCCCAAATTAAATTATCATAATTTAGAGAGGTTTACATTGATTTCAAAATTGTTTAATATACAGACTTATATAACATATTAAGCTAACGAATAGTGGTGATAGAACTGTTTTTTATACAGAGTGTTTAGAAACATGTTTTAAATATGGCTAATTTTAAGATCAATTTACTCATTTTTTTCAAATGCAACACCCTGTATATTATTTTATTATAAAATTCCTTATAAATTTGCCTATACAACGATACCAATATGTTAGCCAATAACACACACACACATATATAAATATATATATTTCGAATTTCAAATATATACCTACGTGAATTGTTGATGTAAAAATATTATTGCTAGATTTTATAATATTAACACGCCACTAAACCCCCGGAAACATAATAGGGTAATGGATTATATCCACAATAACGCACGCACGCGCACACACACACAACCCCCAGAAGGCGGCAAAAGTCAACGAATTGCTCCGCCAATTGATGACGTAGTTGTAATAATAATAATAATAATACTCTCCCTAATTCACCCCCTTACGAGTGAATTTTAACCCCAAAAGCTGAGCTTGTCCGGGGAAAGGGACGGATATTATTATTATTTGCCGTGGCGCTCCGGGGCGACTTAAAGATGATTGATGGTGCCATTTGACTTACAGGTGAGGAAAACCCGGAAAACCTCACCCACCATCATCGAGACGGTAATGTATGGCGAATTTTTTTAATCTGCATGTCATATCAACAGAAATTGAATTTCTATTAATACGCCACACATCAAATCCTAAACCGAACCATGCAATTTAATTAAAAATCCACATGGTCTGGTCTGGGATTCGAAACCCAGCAGTCTCAGACTCATAAACTTGCCTATAAATGAATATAAGCGCGATAGACCGCTACACCACCGTGCCCGTGTTCATCTTATTTTAATAGGTCCCTACTATCTTCAATTTTCATTTGGTACCAGTTAAAAAAAACTCAGCGGCAACGATATTTAAATTTTTGGCCAAGAAATTTGAAATTTCAGCCACTGTGTCTCATCGTCGCTAAATATTGAAATAAGTGAAACAAAAATTTTAAATCGTCCAAATTGTAGTTGAGAATAGTAGATTGTGGATAATATAAAACAAGACTGCACTTACCGCTGCTGTCCATTCCACTATCATCAGTATCAGATTCTGAACTCTGAGCACTTTGTTGAGCTGAAGAAGATGAGGACCCATTGCTATTAGTAGAGTTTTTGGAATGTGCTTTACTCTTCATATGTTTCGTTAGATTGCCTTTTGTTTTAAAACTAAAACAAAGAAAAAAGTTAAAATTTGTAAAAAAGACACCTTTAGTTGATTGAATAAAGGGCAACAGAAGAAAAACATATTCTTATCAATTTATAACTAATTTTACCTGAAATTACAGTGGCTGCATGTATATGGTCTATCATTTGAATGTGTTCTAATATGCTTTTTGAGCATAGAAGGCTTTTTACATCGTATTCCACATTGATCACAAACATAGCGACCCCTTCCTGTAAAATGAAAATAAAGTTAATAATGTAATTATCAACAAAATTATCATTAAACAAATTGGATTATAAAAATAACTATTTTTAGGAATATAATTTTGAAAAAAAAAAACATACCTCTGCCTCTGACGTAAATGTAATCATCGTTGCTTTCATAACCTCCTAATATAGCGTTTGATTTTTGTGGTTCATCCTCTTTTTCAGAATTTGATGATGTTTCAGAAATAATAAACTGAAAAATAAAGATATTAATAACTCTAGCAAAGGTTTTATAATGTAACGGCTCATCTTGTTTTCTCAGTAAACATAAATAATGTGTAACAGTAATTAAATTAATTAAGAGGTGCAAGTATTATTAAAAAAGTATTTAATAACTTCACAGGCGATTTCAGTAACTCCGACTAGGAACTATTTAATGATTCAATAAACGGAACGGGAAGATTCAGCTGAGAAAAAAAGTGTTTGGAAACTAAGATTTCCGATACTAGGTTTGTCGTTTATCAATTGAAATTAGCATTGGGTATTGGACTAAAACTATAAAAGATAAAAGTTATAACAGAAGACGAGGCATTTGCACAGTTAATTAAAGAGCAATTCCTTGATTCTGAACAAAAAAAAAATCACAAAATTTATTCTATGAGAAATATTAATTCATTATTTTCAAGATTTAATTAATTTAATGTTAAAAACAATTAAATTAAAAACTGTGGGCAAATACTCTATATAACATTTTAAATTATTAAAATAAGGATATACCTTACTTATATTGTTATCGGATATAGGCATATTTTATGTGTTCAGGTTAATATGAGAAAGAGAGCAAAGTACATGTTTATTTGTGATAACCATAAATATTTTTTTTAAATTAAGTTGCTTTTGCAAGTCCAAAGTAACTGAATATATATAAGTACCTACTCAAATAAAAATAAAGGACAAATCGAATATAAATAATACGAAATGGTCTTTTTAATTCTATCCCAAAATAGTATACAACATTACGAGTTTGGAAAGTGACTTTTTCACACGCATGTGAAAAAACACTTTTACACAGTACAATATTTTTCCTACTACCACAAACTAATATAATACTAAGAAATCTGGTTATATAGGTTCAATCAAGCAGTAACTGGTTTTCGATTTGTTCTTTTTTAATATGCATTATTTAATAATTTTTAGTGTTTTATGGATGGTGTTTTGTCGAAATTAAAAACATTGTGATTCCATAGGATGATAACAGTAAAATACCATTAGGTCCAAAAAAATATTAGAATACAATGTTTTTATTTTTAATATAACAAAATAATAAGACGAAACCCGTAAACAAGAACTTTTTTAATTGTTAAAGATGATTACCTACTTATCTACTTACAGTAACCAAAAAAAGTACAAAATAAATAGCGGAAAGATTAACTGTAGAGGTTATATTATGATAAATAAAATGTATTTAAAATAAATAAACAGCAAAAATAAAAAAAATACATGTGGCACTCGGGGACTGCCGCGGTAAAGCTATTGCATAGCATTTTTTATCAACTTATGCAATTATAATTATTTATTTATTTTATTTATGCAGTATTTTTTTTTCTTTGATATTAATTCAAGTTTTTCTTTGATATTAATTCAAGTTACATTTTTTGAGCGTGGTGACCGATAAGAAAACAAATTTTTTTCTTTTATTGAATAAATGAGAAAATATTGTTTAAAATATTTTTATTCTCTTACAATACATGTAGGCTATTCAGGAATTTTCATCATTGAAACTATAGGTTTATGGTAACTGAAATAAGAAACATAAGTTTGAGACTTGATATCCTCTAAATATCTGGAAAATACCGCGTCAATGGTGGTCCCATATTTTGTTGTGGATTCTTGTGGATCATTATTCATTTTCAAATTCAATTTTTCCGATATTGTGTCTAAAAGAGATAGAATCAGTTATGAACATTAGCAGCTAGTCTACACGCATACGTCTAGTCGCACACACACAAACACAGTGCTGAAGTCTGCCGAACTGAAACGACGTTAGACGATGCACGGCTTTCAACGCCGCACTGCTGTGCCGGTCGGAGTGGGGGGTGTTAGGTTTATTTTCGATTTTTCGATTATTTGATTTTTCGGTTTTTCGATTTATCGATTTTTTGATTTTTCGATTTTTCGATTTTCTTTTATTGAATAATATTGTTTAGCGCCGCACCGCTGTGCCGGTCGGAGTGGGGGGTGTTAGGTTTTTTTCGTTACGGTGTTACGGAATTTCTTGATTCGATCGCCGCGCTCAAAGCCCGCGATAAAAGCTATGCAATAGCTTAAAATATTACATCTATCGGGAATTGAACCCGCGTCGCGACATTCATAGTTTATAAAGTTGTACTCTCTATGAACTAAGCCATCAGCTTATATCACAAGAATTATCAAATAAAATTTTTTCAAGAATAGTTTTCACAGATGCAAAAATGCTTTTACTTCGGAGATTACTTTGAAAAATTATAAATAAATGTGTTTCTTGTAAATAAACTGTGTTTTACTTTACTAGGCTCGATGGAAAGATAAAAGCCCTCGTATAAACCAATGCCTAGTTTATATTGATGACCCACGTGGTTCTGTTAGCAAGGCACCAGTAAGTCAAAATTTATAAATTTGGCGCCATATTTTAATTTTGATATCATACAAAAAGGGAAAATTTATGGAACTCGAACAAACACATCAGTAAAAATGGGTTCATAATATTAAAAACCGATTATACACGGCACAGTGTAATGTATAGATTTGATGAAATGTCAACTTAATGCTTGATGTTAGTAAATAAAGATCAACACAATAGCAGGAATACTAAATGATATCCTAAAAAATTTATCAAAAGTTTTGGAGAGTATTAAGATCTACATTACTATAGGAAATTACGAATATTTAGAGGCAATTAGGAGTAATTAAGGACCCTGCTACAAGAAGGGGAAGTAGTTTCATTTTTGGTAAAATTTTAGTTATTTTATGTACTTTATCTAAAAAATTTAAATTAATCAACTGGTATAAAAAACAGGCTACTGAGATAATAATTATTTTTTTTAACTTATCTATTTCAGCTCAAATTTTTGTAACTAGTTTTGAAAAGGTTCATTATGTCACCAGTTGTGAAAAAAAAGAGTTAGCTTTTTTTGTATTAAAATTAATAGGTATGGTGTTTTTGAAAGCTTATTCTGAAGAACGGAAGATTGGTTAGATAAAAAGAGATAGAGCCAAGTAGTTAGTAATTCTGGTTCGACAGTTAACTGATTTTTGTTCAATACATGACTTTCTTTTTGCAATGTTAATCCAGTTTATTGAAAACCAAAAATCTTTATGAAAAAACTAAAATGTATCCTTCCATTTTGTTAATGTCGCCAAATCGGCTTTGAATTCGTCTGCAATTAATTGTATGAGTTAAATATGAAACTTTCTCAAAATCCTTCTTTTCTGTAAATCTGAAAATTCATGTTTTTCTTGAGAAAACGCAAAATTAATTATATTTTTAAATCCTCTTACGTGACCATACAAATTAGCAATATGCTACTTTTCCTTGTAGCTTCAAATTTAATTCGTTAAGGTGAGATGTGCGGTACGTTAAAAATGAATATACTATTTGATTTTCCAGTTCTGTATTGTCTGGCTTCACTTAATTTTTAAGGAAAATTGGAATAGCCTTGCGTAGAGTGAAGATACGTTGTGTTTAACCAACGAATATCAGTGTTAAGTAACAAGTCCCCATATTTACTTTGGGCAAAAAATCATGTAACTTTATGTGAGTCAAAGCACGATTTTCCCCTCTTATAATATTAGTTATTTTAACAACCACTTTCACGACTTTCATTTGACGTAAATGCCTCTTGATGAACAATGCCTTGTATAACAGGACAGTTGATAATATAGTTTTGTTTTAACGAGTCCTAAAAATCCAATTTCCAGTTCCTATCATAGCTCTGGCTTCATCAGTGATAATATAGGAACATTTATTTATCGAATTCCCCATAGTGTGGTACCACCTTATTTACATCTTCAAAAATATCCATTCCCTTGGTTGTACCATGGAGAGGAATAACATCAAGCATTTCTACGTTGCACTGAATAAAGGCTAATCACGGATAGATCAGTGCTTTCGTGCAGGCAGAGTGAAAAATATTTACATTTTTCAATAATTGTATCGTGCAATTTTTTGAGTTCATACTGCTGAATAATGTGGTCTACATGTCTTGCAATTGTTTGATACGATATTGAGTCTGTTTGGATTTTTTTCGGTAATTTTTGTTTCATTGAATTGTTTTGCCATTTTGATTGCACAATTATTAATAAGGACCAAAAAGATTTTTTAACTTCGACAATTTCCAGATCTACTTCTTAAAGGTGCGTATAAATTTCCTGTGTCATGCCTGCGCTGCGCTAAAAACGGACCAAGTTCGTCAGATTTATATGGTGTTACCACGCGCCGCGCGAAATAAGATCGAAGTAAGCACTTAAAGGGATTGGCGCGTCGTCTAGTGAGGCGGGTTTGTGGCAGACAGGTTGGAAATTACTTTGCAGCAATACTGGAGAAGCGACATTTATTGTTTATTTTTAAATATGGAGTGGTCTGAAGAAACTGCATTAAATTTGGTGGATATAATATACAAATAATATAAAAATTTGTGGGATCCCAAAGATATAGCATATTTTAAAAAAATAATTAAAGTATTTTACCCAGAACTTTCCTTGATATAGAAAATGCAAAAACAGGGAACTCCTAAGCACTTACATTTTACGAACGTGACGAAGAACACCGAGCAGACGACAAGTGAGAGTTTGGGTCGGATCAAGAGGAAGATCGAGAAAACCCTTTTTCGCCGTTATTGCATGCTAATGATTGACTGCTTTTAAAGTGGTCCAGTTACACAAACAAACAAAAAACGCTTTTTATTATTTTCATTTAATGGGGATCTTTTTTGATTAAATACGATTCCTTTCAACGCCATTATGAATTTTTACAAACTTATTTAGGATCTGTTATCTTTGACTTCTAAAATACTCAGATATCAATTTTAGTCGATATCTGCAGACTTTTAAAAATATAGGGTTAACCAGCCATACGGGCCTTTACAATTCACATTGACACTTATTAATGGTTCACCCCATATATTATTTTTTTAAACTGCTCATCCTATATATAACTGACCGGAAGTATAACTGGATTTGAGCCAGAAAGGAAACTTATCTGTACACAAAATTTTAAGTTTTTCTTTAAAGCCGTTTTTGAGCTATCGCGCCAACAGAGAGACCGACGGAATGGGAAACATGTTTTTCGTAATCTATTGGCCCTGAAACGTAAACATTTTAAATAATCAGGAAAAGTGACTTTTTCACGATTACAATAAGTACTTCCCTCTTATCGAGGGAAGTAAAAAGAAAAGAAAGTTGACGCGTGGAATTAAACTGCGTCAATGCTCGGTAAATTTAAAAAAGGTAAAAGAAAAAAATTGCGAGTTTATTGTCGACCAATAGAAAGTCAAAAAACAAAACAAAGTAAAGTAATCTATGGGTATAAGAAAAGGTAAATCTTAGTAATATTTATACATAAAATAAAACTTAGTAATTATCATATACACATTTAACGCAGGGTTCGGTATAGTCCCATTAAAAACATAAAACCGAACGGGAACCGATATATTTTAGTGAACCGAACAGACAAACCATTATATTATCTTAAATTAAATATTCAAAATCGATCCGGAACCCCTAATCTTTCAAACGTTTTTTTTTTGGTTTCGTAGTACATAATATTATGGTTATTTTTATCATTATCTGAATAGATATATCAAACGATAAAAACAAAGCCCCCATGACATTTTTGCAATTTTAACTTTTGACTGCTTATTTAAGTATGTTTTTTATGAAAAAAAAAAAAAAAAAAAAAAAGAAACACGTTCATTATTATGGCCCTTATATGATTTATTTACATGGAACAATTAATAGTGATTGAGATTTTAATTTAACAAAAACTGTTTTGTATAATTATATGTACTAACGAACTGCCGTGTGTTTTTCGCCATCAGACATGGTCTACCTTGTTTGGCTCAACACCTACTACTTAAATCTAGTGGCGGGCCCAGTGTTGTCACACCGACATCTGTCATTGTCGATATATTTGTTCGCCTAAAGTCGCTATTTGGTCGCTACATAATGATTGATGAAATATGCAATTAAACATACACTAACGTATGTGTTGTATTGCGTAAAAAAACTAAAAATTTAAATAGCCAATAAATAAATAAAAAAAAATGTTCAGCTTGAGTCTTAATCTAATTTGTGAACAGATTCAGTTGTTTTGCGTAAAGTGGTTGAATCATTCTTAATTTTGTTTAAATATGTGTGTCAGGAAAATTATAAAATTTATTATATTCTACTTTATGTTTACTGAATTTAAAATTTCTAATAATTTCATAATTACTGTATACATTACCTTATAACTAGAATGTATGATTAGGTCTGCAGAAGTCTTTCCAGCTACGGTATATCTCTGGTTCTTTTGCCTAGAATCGTATTGGCTCGCATACAGCTTATCCTGTTTAGTGTCCTGCTGTCTCCATTCCGAGTACATACTTAATTTCTTAAAAAATGGCACATAAAACGGTTGAGTTTTATTCAAAGTACAGTATACAGGTCTTGTAGAACTCTTCAAGCCCAAATAACTAAAGTAGTTTCCATGAAGAAAATGTTCAGCATATTTTTTAGCTACCCTAGGTGTATCCGGACTTATAAGTATTTGATTGAACATGGTTGGAGTTAATCCATGATGTTGTTTTAAAGAAGCCATGGTGGGTTTTAAAGCTAAACTATTGGGTCGAGCAAATTTTTTAATTTCTTCTGTAGATTTAACATCATTGATCTTTTGATCACCTATTTTATTTACAATATTTTTTGACCCTAAATCGGCGTTATCTAATTTAGGTGATTTACTTAATCTTTCCGAAATCTTTTCCGGCTGTAAAAAATTATTAGTTATCTTATTATTTTTTTCATTTTGTATAACATTATTCGGAGATTTAATGGGTCTTTCAGGAACTTTTTCCGGTTGTAAAAATAAAACGCGATCAGCTGCTCTTTCAATTTGATTGTCATTCATTTTCGTATTGGATCGAGGTCGATCAATTATTAGTGGCGCGAGTGGAGTTGTAGGCTGTGGTGAAGGTTTTGTAACTGCTACTATATTACTACTGTATTCGGACGTTTCAGGTGCAACTGGACCAGGCATCCCAGGAACGTGTCTCACTACTTTTCCATTTACATACAGATTAAGAGGATTATATAAATTAGGTTGTTTCGATTCTAAGTAGTTTGTTTCTGTTAATTTAGGTTTTGGATTCACTATTTTTAATTCTCCCTTGTTTTCTCGATTTACATTATTAAAACTTGGTTTAGTAGAAGCGGGAAATATGGGCGGCCTTATATTTGGTGTTAACATTTTAATTGCCTTTTGACTAAAATCCATAATATTTTTATATAAAGGGCTGGACTCATCTGGATACAATTTTGGTGATTTAAGGATTTCAGAAGACTGTACCATTATATCTTGAACCCTTTCTGTACTCATTTCTGGAGGTTTTTCGAAAGTAAACCTAGATTTATTATAATTAACTATATCTAAATTTGGAGATATCATCATAACTTCTTGTGGAGTTTTTATTTCTTGCTTATAATTAGTATTATTAGTTAATACAGTACCACCCGAATGCAAGCTAGTTTTCACAACCCTATTTTCGCTTAGTTTGCTGCCATAATCTACATAGTTACTTTCTTGCTCGAACTTATCATCTTTTCCATCAATTTTGAAACTTTTTGTTTCACCTGACGAATGAACTTTTACTTCACCACCAAATAGTTTGATCTTACTTTTCTTATCTTTTTCGAATGGTATCGGAGAGAGCAAGTAGTTTGGAGAAGGTGAAGGTTCTCCTGGACTTATAAGTGGTAAATGACCACTGTCAAAAGAGAAGGATTTAGTTTTATCACTGTCTATCAATCGAGTTTTGCCTAAAAATGGTCCAGGCGAGTTCAAAGGGAACACTGTGTTTTGCAACTGCGGGATATTATCAAAAGCGTTCTTATTGTGTGTTAAAATAGAAGCGACATTCACTGAACTACTCCTGGTATATTTGGCTCCTGACGGTTTTCCTTTACAACTTCTGTACTTATGGACATCTAATTCAGTAACAGTTTGGAATATCATTTTACAATAAGGACATTGCATGTCTGAGGATGAAAGGTTTTTGAGTAGTAGCTCTTTGATCAAACTTTTTTGAATTACTGGTTCAGAGACTTCACTCAAAGAACGTTTTCGATTCTTATTAGTCAAGTTTAATGGTTCATCTGTTGGTCTTTCATATACTGGTTCCTTGTTATACCTAAATTCGAGTTGAGGAACTTCTTTTTGTAAAAATTGATTATTGGAATTTACTACTAAATTATTTCTATTAATAATTTCGTTTATTTGATGAGTCACAAACTCTGAAGTGGGATTATTCTGGCTGAACGGCTCTTCCTCTGTATTTTCTGTGGATATATTGTCAAAAACTTTGGTGGTATGGAATCTAGGTTTGTACGGTTTCTGTTGTTCTTCTTTAGAAGTTATATAATTTGGTGAGTATGTAGGTGTTTTTAGAGTGTCAATTTCGCTAGTAGCTTCTTGAGTTTTAGAGCCCATTAGCCGATTCGCGTGAGTTCTTGATCTGCAATGTTTATACAGGTTGGATTTGGTTTTGAAAGAAAAGCCGCAACTTTCACAGGGATATGGCCTTTCATTTGTGTGAGCTCTAATATGTTTTTGCAAGACGCTGGGTTTCGAACAGACTAGATTACAATAATGACATACATATTTACCGTTGGTGTTCTTATCAGGAGTGGGCTGAATTTCTTCGTGTTTAACACCGGGAATATCTTCAGTTCTCGAAGAATATTCATCTTGTTGAGTGTAAGGAACATACGTTTCCTCCGTATACTTGTAATTTTGTGTAGGATAAACAGTATCTAAAATGGAAGACGTACTATCTAAATAGTTGGTCTGTGGTTTAAATTTCGTATCAAAACTAACTGGTTGATGGTCAAATTGTTTCGAAACTACATATGATATGTAAGAGTTCGAAGGTTGTTGGTTTCCTACTGATATGGAAGACTTAACAAAGTTAGCGTTTACTGTAAACGAGGAGCTATTTGTACTTTGATTTGGCACACTATCTTTATTGTCGAACCTTTCAATCTCGTAAAGGTGATGGTCGACTTGGTTGTGGTTTTCTTTCTTCTCAATTTTTTCCGCGTTCTGTTCCGTATAAGAAACATTTTTATTTTCTTTGTCATTTTGAATCTTCGCATCGACATTAACTTGCTTCTTAAATTTTTTGTGCAGGTAACTGTCAATATTTTCCATAGCTAATAACTACCTGCAACAAAAAAAATATTATTGTTTATAGGTTAATAGATTGATACAAGTTAGGTTTGGGACATATTTTTCAAACATACGATCAGAAAACAAGTTACAGATCGACAGAAATAGTTTTATGCGCAGTGAATAGAAGTGCGGAGAACTTATTTAATTCCGCTTGTTCGAGGCGATCGTTTTCTGCACCGGGTCTAACGTTGGCACATTCCGTGACTTTTAACTTATCCTGCTTAAAAAAAGATTTCAAATCTATGAATTTTTCTTTAAAAACGATGTAGTATATTGTACAGCATTAATTTGCCGTGCGAGAACAGCACCTCTTAAATATTACATACAATTAATAATCTATGAACTTTGAATATTGAAACTGTTGATTAGCTGAACAAAATATAACTTATGAGACAAATGTTTTTGTAAATAAACATTCTACTTAAAATATCATGTGTTTTGATTAATCAACAAATACATGGTGACTCATTGTAAATTTAAGTTTTAAACGGGTCTAATATAAAAGCTGCACTTTAAATAGTTATCTAAGACATACGTAAGTGGAAATTGTTTTTTGGGGGAGTAAAACAACTATATTTGACCAAATAATAATTATTATAATAAGAAAAAAATCGATACTATTACTAATGTTAAGTGTTTATAAAAAAATGTTTGAAGGAAATTCTTGTAATGTTTTTTAAAGGATTAACGTACATGAACATGAAGGTAAGAGAAGAAACTAAAAAATCAATACCATATACTTTTTACTAAGCTGAAGAATAGTATTATCGACCACTAGTTTTGGTCACATGCAGCCATCATTAGCCTTTAACAAACATTTATAAAATCAAAAAGGACCCCAACTCTGTGGTTTATCGATAACATATTAACGCCAAAGCACATTACTCCCATAGTGGTTAGAACAGTTGGGAAAAATAGCAAATGAGAGAAAAGTAAAAATCGATAGGTAGCTTAGGTGAAAGTTTTCCGACCGAAAAGAAAATGGAAGGACACTATTTTATAAGATCTATAGGAGAAAACATAATTCGAAACATACTGCAGGGGACAGACGATAATAAAAATGATTGACAAACTGATGAATTACTCGTATAGAAATGTCTCAACACAAATTTTGAACTTTATTCCAATTTAATCAATTCAAGTACAGATTGTGTATAGATATATGATCATTAAACATTTAATTGCTCAACTTGATCTGTGATAATTTGTAGAACATTAATGTAAGTTCAGTATGGAATAAATACCTCATAAATGCGCACAATTTAAAGATTAAGATTTACACTGAATAAATAATTTTGTATTGTATTGTTTACGTCGAACCAATGCCTAGTAGGTACACCATTAATTACGTAAAGTGTTGATAACCATTTATACTCACTGAAGTCATAACACCCACACGTCCCACAGTTTTAAAGTTAACACTACACCGAATGAAAAAGATAAATAACACAAATAAAATCACTAAAAAAAACGTTATAAACTTGCGACGATTGTAGAATTATTATCTGGAAGCGTTATCAACTGTCAGTTATAGCAGCAAAAAACAATATTACTTGAGAATAGCTTAAAAACTTTTTTGGATAATATTTACCAACAATGACTGGCTCGAATGAAATTAAATAGGAATACAATTCACAATGTGATTCATAATTGTTAGAACTCTGATGCGATAACGAGCAATACTGATAATAATTTTTCTCCCTGTGAACACATTATTGAATGTAAGATATACAGAATGTTTGCAGATAAGGCACTTGTTTGAATTAAGTTTTAGGAGAAAAACAAGTACATTGCGATGATGAATAATAATTATTTATTAATATCAGTCGTCAATAAAATAATTTATGATTCAAAGGAAAATGTCTTGTTGCCATTTTGAAATAGAAATTAATAATAATCGGCCAACATTTATTTTAATGATTAGTTTGAAGCCCAAGCAATGAAGAGCTCAGCAAAGGGGTTACCTGTGAAAAATTAGAATAAAGTTACAAATTGGTATGTTGGTGGGTCCAATTCGATATCCTAATGATCCCTTTTCATTCGCTCCCGGGCTAACCTGCTTGCACTTTTTTAGGAGTGATTTAAAAAAATCGATTTTTTTTTGAGAACCCTGCACAAACAGCTAGTCTGAAACAAAAGCTCTAGTCCAGTCTTCATCTAGAGGGTATTTGTCGCAAAAAGACCCGCGAGAGTACTACCCTAGTTTACCCTCTAGAGCAGCGATACTCAACCTTTTTTCTTTCGGGCCATATTCGTATATGTGCTATGTTACACGGGCCGCAATATTTTTGGATGATGACCTTTTTTTTAGGACATCTATCTAAAATCTATCTAAAACATAAATATATCCCGTTGTGTTACTGCAAAAACAAGATAACTCACATTTTTAGGGTTTCGATAAAACACTATTTAAACGTTTAAAACTGAATAAAACATCAGTAAAAGCTTCAAACCGTTTATTAACTTCAATGAGAAGGTATTGAAAACATTGTTCACAAAGTATAAATTAATAATTTATCAATAATTGGTAAAAAAAAAGAAAAACGTCACTTAGCTTATTTTAGCTCTACATTCAAAACATAATTCAATGTATGTATCACTATCTTCAGTAGAAGTTTCAGTAACATTGGATACAGGTAGATTGTGATAATAATGGTGAAATTCATCAGGTGTATCTGATTTTGCAAAATTTTAGTAAATCTTTCTTTCTCTTTTTTGTAAGTATTTTCAAAACTTTGTTTCATCCTTTCATGCATCCCTCTGAATAAATACTGTGCGAGTTTGGCATATAAAGCCGAATTCCCCAACCTCGCCCATTGATAAATTAAATCTATTTTTTTGGTGGAATGTATTTAGGATAGCTGAATCTTTCGATAAGTTGTCTATTAGAAAGTATGGTTAAAATTCATATTAGCCTGTTACCACTAATACTTTTATTCACGAATTTTCACACAAAGATTCGCTCGTTTTGCTAATTCTTCAGGTAATGGCGGTTTTGTTAAATACAGTGGCTTTATTTGGTTATCACAGAAAACATAACCAAAACCAGAGAAATCTAAAGATCACGACAAGTGCATTTGGCCTTTTTATCGTATTGAAAAAAAAAAAAAAAGGTTGAAGAAGATTTTACTTCTCAGGCAGTATCTGACAATAATTTTTTCATGAATAAAAATAAATGTTAAAAATAAATGTTTCTGTTAACTTTAATAAATAAAGAAGTTATCAAAAGTATCTAAAAAAGTAAAAAAAAATCACATGATACAAAACTATAAATCGGCAAATATAACAAAGTGTTATGAAAAATGTTAATAATAATTTTTTTAAACTTATTACCTCTGAAAAACAGCAAAAATTGATTCAGCGCGTCATCGGGCTTTCTCTTACCCATCTTATACATTGAGTTGGAAGTGAGATAGAAGTACTTCTCTCTAAAAGTACGGCGCGTAGGAAGCATATTGTTATAACGTAAAAAAACAAAAAACAACAACAAACAAAATTTTTAAAATTTATTTAGGTTATTTTGTTTATTATAGTTTGAATATTCGGTAAAAATTATAGCATTTTAAATTTTAAGGTATATTATTTAATTCAAGAAAATTAGAATTTTCGTCAATTTCGGATTTTAAAACATTCATAACAATTAAAAGGTTAAAGATACGATGATAGGCGTAAGGACTTTTTTTATTCGAAATATCCTAAAGAATATAAAAAAATTAATTCATTGCAAAAAATGCATTTTTTCTGGCTTAATTAATTTTTCGTTGGTTAAACAATAACATCAACAGATATCGAGTGTCATCTTACACTTTTATAATCAGGAAAGCCTTCCGGACATTTAAAAAAAAATTACGAATTAAAACAATTTTGCAAACGAATGCGCCACTATGCCCTGCACTAGCAGGAAAATGTGACAAATTCATAGTTTGCATTTTTATGTATAGTCGAAACGGAATTCCCTCAGAATTGGCCAATATTATTTTATGACGATTTATTTAACAACTTAAATTAAACCATAAATCAATACACTGGCTGCAATAAATCAGGTGCGGACTTAAATAAATTTGTATTATACTGTGGATAACATCGTTTAGACAACTTATTTATTATTTTTATGTTAATTTGGGGATTTGAAAAATACAATAAATATTACTAGAAAAAAAAAACAAACTATGGTAGTTACACAAAAAATAATTTTATCAATGGTTAATCATGACATATGTTTCGAAGTACAACTTCTTCATTAGATGTGTCGTGTTTAATCATAAAATTGGTTTTTCCTAGTATTAATTATGGATTTTTATCAAGTAACGGCTGAAATAATTAAGAATACTATTAATATTTAAACTGTACGACTTTGGCTGAATCCAGACTCATTTACAAGTATCATAATTCTATGTAAAATGGTATTTTTAATCTTTACTAATCTGTTTGCTGATAATAAAGATCAGATAAAAATTGGTTTTCTATTACCTTTCATAAGTGTCTATGAATCATATCCTAACTAAAATTGCTTAAATTGAACGGAAAATGTTAAAAATAAAAAATTACATGAAAAGTAATAAACTAAAAATAAAGTGCAGTTTTTTAATAGGAGGTATGATGCAGGGCTGCCGTTTCAGTACAATTGTACTAAATTTAGTACATTTCTCACGGTAAAGTACAAAAGTACATTTTAAGTCAAATCAGGGACAATTTAGTACAATTTGAAATACTGATCGTCTTTGTGGCACCATCTATGTTTCGAAAGCCTAAGTTTTTCGATATAAGGGTAAGTATTGTAAATATTGGCGGTATGTTCCCTAAATAAAGGGACTTTAGATAAGTTGCGTTTTAATCATCCGCTTCTGCTTCGGAATTGTCGGTTTTCTTGTTTTAATCTGACAGGTTAAAACGGCTAAGGTCTATTACAATAACAATCAGAAACCTGTCACCGACTCCAGGATTCTGCGCAGTAGATTATTGAGACCGCCAAATCATCTATTGCGCAGATTCCT